AGGCCAAGCGAGGTGAAGAACTCTGCGGTGGGGATGCGAGTGAGATGTACAGGAGCATGTGCAATCAGGCGATGGTGGTTATTGATTATGCCAAATGATGTCTTGATTGCCTTTGTAGGTGATGCCCATCTCAAAGATCCCATACAACACAGTGGGAAGGACACATTGGTTGTACAACCTAATTCGGATCTTGATGTCATGATGTTTATCAAGAAGCCACCTGCGGAGAATTCGAAAGCACGTTTGGGCTGCTGTGATCCGACGTCTGACTGTGTCAGCTTCCCATGCTCTATAACTTACAATGGTGCCGAGGTACGAGGTTTTGCTCACAAGAGGGATCGTTAAGCTGGTATCTGGCAGGTGCAGTACAGGACCTGTTGTAGGTCTGCTTGTCCATCGGCGGAGAAACGGATTCAATGCGCGGCCAACCATGCGAGTGAGTGCCACGCTCTTCTGTTGATTGATACGAAGGCCATATGCACTGAACACTCTAAGCAGGAAAGACAAGTCATGTAATGCAGCGAGGCCCTCACTCGGTGAGGTGAGAATCCATCTCAGGTGGATATCGTCTGCGTATATCAGGATGTGGTTGATGATCCAAGCATGATCATACTGGGCTAAAAGATCGTGAAGGATTAGATACATACTAATGGTCCAGAAGAAGGGGGCGTCTTTAGATCCTTGTTTGATGCCACCTGAAGCTTGGAACATTCCAACCAACTCCTTGTGGGAAATGCAGTACTTTTGAGGAGCTAACCACGAATGCACAAGGTGCTGCAAATCATTTGACAAGTCGAAAACATGGAGTGCACGTAAGACCATGGATCTGCTGATTGTGTCGAAGGCTTTCTCCATATCTAACGAAATTTGCAGGCCTCCCCAAAGTCCGTGTTTGGCTTGGTCTTTGCCATGAACTCGGCACAATTCTCTCACAGAACGGCAGTGGTGTGAGATGACCAACAGACAGTCTCGAGTGCCTCGGTGTGCCATGTACGCGTACAAAGGCATGGTCTTGAGTGCAGGATAGGTGTGAGATTGCATGAGACGGCAGTGAATACCAGACATGACCTTTCTAACTGGGTGTTGTAGACATATCGGTCTGAGTGCTTCCGGTTTGTTGGGAGTCTTATTTGGTTTGGGCAGTAAGTGCAGCCAGCCTGTCGACCATCGGGGAGGTGGGATGCAAGGGTCAGTGGTCCAGGCTTGACGAATGCAGGCATATACGATGGGAGTTAGCTGGGGTGCGAATTGCTTCCAAATCAGGGCAGGGAAACCGTCTAGGGCCAGAGCCTTTGTGATTGGAAGTCTTTCAAGTTCATGCTGGACATCTTCCTCAGTGAACGGCAAAGTCTGCAGGGGTGGTGGATGAGGAAGGAGAAGGTAGATATCTAGGAACAATGTCTAAAAGTATTCAACCAATCGTGCAAGTTCTGGGTCCTATGACATAGGAGCACCTAAGGATGCAAACATCTGGATCCTACGATATGGTTGCTTAGGACACAGTGTTCGGACTCTTTTATACCATTCATGCATCTGGTTGCGAAGGACCAGGGGCACATTCTCCTCGAGGAATGTGGTGAGTCTATTCTTACGATTCAGGCGATTTTGTTTGCGAATCAGCTTATGAAGCTTCTCAAACTTAGTGACATGGTGCCATCGCAACAGCTGCCGACGAGCAAACCACATCTATGCGCTCATAGATCGTACCTGTGGGCAGAGCAAACGGGTAGCGGGTGTGGTAGCCAAATGAAAGACACAGAAGTCACGAATCCGTTGTTCTATTATCATGCAAGTGTCCAATGCATTAGATTCAATCGAAATAATGACCTAATGGAACAAATCATGCATCTTGTGTTCAAATCGTTACCAGTTGTCGTTCTGCAATTTAAAATCCTGCCTCATTTATTGACGGTCAATATGTGCTTTAGGTGTTCGACGAAGAAGTACAAGCATATAATTAATAGTCGAGGTTGTGGTCCATTATATAGTAAAGATCGTTCGAATCTAGTAAAGACCCGGGCTAAGTATTTCCTACCTTAATGTTGATGTGTCCTAAAAAACATAAAATCAATCCTAGAAGAATGAATACCATGTTAGAAAGTAGACTGCCATTTTCCTCGATAATGAAATATACAAAGATCAAGCTCATAAACTAAACATTAAAATATATCTATATAAATAAAAAAAATAAAATATAAATAATCAACATCAAATAAGTAATTATATATTTTAACATTATAAATATAAAATAAATATAATAATATATCGAAAATAAATCAAAATAATATTATCGAAAAACAAAATATATCGAACATAAAATAAATAAATATAGTAATAAATACCAAATCAAAAAACAAAACAAACATCATCAAACAACATTAGCATTAAAACATAACTCAAAATAGAAAAAAACACGTAAAACCAATCAACAGAAAAAAAAATAATCGGAAACCACGTCAAAAGAAAATGCAAAAAACACATCGGGTCTAAGCCAATTGACTCGCTTGTATTTTCTGAAATTTTATGATTTGATTTACTTTGACTTTTGGGACTGACTACTAAGTTGACTTTTTGTTTGACTGTCTTTACAGAAATATTGAAACAGGATCTCTCCAATGAACGGTTTTCTTAACATTATAACACTTGTAAGTAAAGTAATATTTATGGATTTTGGTATCTTGGTCTTGGCGTTGGTCTTTGATTTCCTGCAAGTTTTTGCTGGGTTGATGATTGGTGCTGCTTGGTATTCAAGATTGTGGAACTGAGTTTCCCCACACAGCAGGAGGAATAGTTGTGGATTGAATCCCAACCTGAGCTTCAGCAAAATCTCGGCAAACTCCCGGTCAATAGTCCACAGCTGACGACGTGGCAATCTTTGTTCCCATAGGGTCCATAGCGGTGATCGCAACAAAAGCCCCATTTGAATCCTGCAAGTCAGACTCTATCTTCAATTGGATTGAACATGCAAGTGTTGCACTGTGTGCTGACAAATCCAATCTAAATCAATCTAACAATGCTGTTGATAATGTGGCCTTCACGCCAGCAGTGCTCTCCAGGAACCTTTTGGCCAGCTCTTCTTTTGTGCGAGCCCTTATTCACATGCTCATCTGTGGCCAATCGTTGTTGTTGCAAGATTGACCAAAGATCTGCTGAATGATCTGAATGGAGAGGTAATATGTGGTCATACAATTTATACACCGAGCTCTGTAGGACTCTGTCCCCAGCTCTGGAGCTGAGGCCCTAGGCCAAGGGGGACCACCAGGACCTCGACGCCTGCTCGCTCGTCCGGGGACCTCAAAAGAGAAGTCCAGGTCAAGTTATCGTTTTGCAATATGAGCTCTTTATAGTCTGTTAACACAGATTACTTCCTTGCTTCGTTGACCACTGGATCTCCCATCGACCTGTGTATTAATGTATTCATTGCACAACCTTCGTAGTTGTTCGTAGAGTTGTGTGTCTGCAACCATCCTGCTTCCAGGTAGTGCAAGTGATTTAAGTAGCATTCTTCTTTGTTTTCTCTTTCTCTCAGGTGTGAGCAATACAGGACGTAGCTACCATCCGGTCCAACCTGCATGATCCGCTTGCTCTAACATGTTCATGCAGCACCTTCTGAAAACCGATCCCTAATCCAGCCATGTTCTCGCGATCGCAAACAGCTGTCCTCCAGGCTGCCATTGGTACATCCAAAAATGTCATCCAAAGAAGCCACCACGGGTTCAGGAGCCTAGCGATAACAGGTTGACAAAATAGGGGGGGAGAGTGATGGAGGGTGCTCAAACACCTTGACTCAACAGGTTGAGCATGGGTATACTGAACAATATATTATTGAAGACGTATGCTCCAGATTTGAGACCCAACAAGGGAAGTAGAAAAGGCATCCTTGCTACGTTGCCTTCTTGACTTCCTGCACCATGGGGGCAGCCTCAGGCTTTGGACACTAGGAGACACATGTGGGTGAAATGCAGGTTTCACTGCTGACTCTGAGGAGATTTACTTCAAGCTTCCATGAGGATGATAGCCCATGAGTGTCGATCTTCGTTCATGTCGTGCTGTGTTCACATGATGGCATGGCATTGCTTTTTCTTCTGCAAGCCGCAAGCCACTGCAAGCTGAAGTGTACTCCGATGATTTCAAGCTCTTGTGGATCTGTTGCAAAGCTGTGGCTCATAGTCCAGACTCCAGCATCAACATCACATCACAAATTATCACAATGCACTTGTCCCATCTTGTCCGTGTGGTCCTTCATCAGTATCATCAGCCGTCAATCAGCCAAAGGCCATTGTTGACAGAAAACACGCAGGCAAGCCAATCCATCATTTTCCAAAGCAACAGGTTTGCCTCCAAAGCTCCCGTCTGTTCTGGACAATCTTCCACTCTCTCAAGCACCGTCGGAAAAATTACCAGCACGCATCTGCAACAGCTTAAGCTTGAATAGTTGTACGCCACATCTCCCTTGTGTACTTTTGCTGGTTGTAAGATGTTGCACAATGCATCGTGGAGCGAGTGTCACAAATTGCAAGGTCACCGGGTTGCCATTGCCAGCAAACCTCACAGTTGAAGGTGCACATGTCGATAGGAAAACTGATTTTTGACCGCGAGGGAAAAGGACTTGTTTGCACTTTTCTCAGGCTGTGGTTTTCCAGTAGCCTTGGGGAAAAACGAAATTGCAGAAGCGGAACTGTGTATGTGGGAGCCGTAGCATGCACCAAAAGGTCTTGCAAGATCGACACCTCGGATGACCCAATTCAGTTGAACACGCCGATGTAATGCTTTCGCACGTGCATTTGATTCTGCCATGAGCCACAACCCGTGGGGCTCTCCGAACCACAACCCGTTTGAATACCAGGGGGCCGAGTCATCTTCCTCGCCGTTTAGCTCTAGATTCTCGAGGCGTTCATGGTCCACTTCCTTTGCTGTGCTTGCTCAACACTGTTTGTGCTTCAGCATGCTCAAGCCTTAAGCATGCGCAGGCAAGATCTCTGATGAGTAGTGAATAAAGTTCAGATGGCGGATGCACTTTCCCGCTTCAGTTGGGGCTCTTGATCGTGCTCAAGAACACAGCAAGTGCTGGAATTGATGCCATAAATTGCATGTCGGCCTGTCTCTGGATGTTTGAGGGCCAGCGGAACACGTCGCGGTGGATTTCTTTTGCGCTCCTCTGAAAGACTTCTAGAAACAAGACATGAAAACAGAACAGCATGCAAAGTGTGGATCCAAACAGGATCAAACAGGATGCTTGGGAATGTTTGGGGCCCCAAAGACACCAACGATCATTGCAAGCCTCATCTCAGTAAGTTTCCCTAAAAATGTAGAAGCCACATGATTAGTGCGAACGCTTCTTCAAGGATCTACTCCCTGATTTAACTAAGTAGGTGCCTACTTAACTTAATTTATCATAATTTATCAAGTTAGGAGATGTTAGGAGGCAGGACCACGGGATTTAAACATCTTCCAAACATGAACGAAGACGACTGTGGGCCGGTGTGAGTCCTCTTCTGTGAGCATGGGATAGTCCGGATTACGTTTCTTGATCTTCGCGTCATGGTGAGTCAGGCTGCAAAGGCACTCCAACTTCCTCATCCAAGGCATGAAGGTGGCACGGCTCAAAATTTGCGAAAATACATTACCCTCGCTGTAACTTGAAGACACGTACAAGTCAGGAACTGTCAAGGTAGCCAAATGGCTGGCAAACCGATACTATGTTTTAAGAAAAATTGCACATGCAAACTCTTGAAAGTCATTGGAGTCATTGCTAAGGCTCAGTAGTCGCTCCTGTTGAGAAAAAGGTAGCCCGTCCCAGGCAGACGCAGCATCAGCAAAGCATGTAGCACCGCCCTCCGGTGGTGCACGATGGCAATAGAGTGCTGTACCTCTATCGTTGGGCCCGTTGGGCCTCTGGGGGCTATGATACGAACTCAGTAGCTCTATTGCCAAAGCAAGTCAGCAGAACTTCCAATAGTATCGCTTGGCTAATGCACAGGTCAATCTTCCAGCCCTTGCAATCAATCCATAGCTATAGTTATACTTTGTTTTAAAGCATGTCAGCATGTCAGCTCTCTTCTGGCCTGCATCCGGCTTCTCCTTAAAAGTGCCATCTGTGTGCCACACTGGCAAACGCTCCGCTGGGCGATATTGGCAAGATCCATCTTGTGCCAAAACATCTTCCTGAAAAGTTCAATGATTCAGCTTGCATGGCTTACACTGGAAGGCTGTACTGTATCGATCAAACCCTATATATATATGTAGATGGACCCTGGCTTGCCAACAGGAAATTACTGCCCGCCAACCCAGCGCGCTGGTGCCCTAGAACAAAACATTAACACTATTGTTGATTTAATTCAACACTGCCCAAACTGGAAGCTGGCCCGTCCTTAGTCGAAGATGGTTGTGAGATAAGGTTGCCAGTGTGGTCCCGTATGTTCCCAATGCGAAGAATGCATCCACCTTGGAGTTTACGTCGTGTCTGCTGTGAATTGCCTTATCTAGAACAAATAGCGCCCTTCTCTTTGTCAAGGCAAAGTTGTTCGAAGCTCCAACGAGCAGTTTCACCATCCTACCGATACCAACATCCATGCCACCTGGCCCCAGCTTCGCATGGTCCCGGCCCGCTGGAACAGGCCCAAGAGGTCCGAAGTGGCGGCTGATGGCTGCAAAGTCATCAGGACTAAGATCTAAACCTCTGATGACAAGCCTCAGAGAGTTGTGTGTGTGTCTTGAGAAGCTGGACAGCTGGCCACATTGGCGGCCACATGTTTTGGTATATGTATTTCTTTATTATTCACATGCTGGACATTGCTTGACGTTTGCTTCAGAGTTCTGAGCTGCTGACAACCTGGCCTGCAGCCAAGCGTGGCGCAGTGCCTCCCCTACCTCTGGCCGCCGCAAGTGGCTGGCGTCTGCACCATGCAGGTCTTGGAGCAGTGCACCAAAGCCTCCATTGAGGAACCTCATCCCGTTGTCTTTTCTTTACGAAAATCAATGTAGCCGAAACCATTGAGGAACGGTACCAATCATGTTGGCCACAAGTAATTCTAAATTCAAATCATTCTATCTCGACAAACTATACTGCACGATGTTTACTCTTCAGATCTTGAAATGGGAACAATCTGCCAAACATGTGTTTACATGTCGAGAAAAATCATGAAACATCTGTTGCCATCACTGATGTGAGTGTCTGGTTATGGCTCGACTCATGGCTGTTCCAGGACAGGTAAGCCGCCAAAACGAGAACAGTTGTGCAGTCCAGCGGCTCACTGCGAAAAGCAAAGCCACGTCGGGAGCGCAGCCTGCGCATCTGCGTGTCTCTCTATCAAACTATATCAAACTGAACAAAACATGATAAAACCGATTGTTCATTATTGATAATTGTTGAGCTTTGTGAAGATTCAAAGTTGAAGCACCAGCTTCACAAGGTCATTGATCACGAACTGGTTGATCCACTAGAAGCTCTTCACAAAGCTCAATATCTCTGGATAGATTGCCTGAAATGCCGATGGGAGATACGCCACATCGGACCGCAAGCGAGAAAGCCCAGCTCATTCTTGAACCGAAAAGATCTGGACAACCTGACATAACTTAACTATGCAGCCATACGATTGTTCGGACCGAAAAAGAATACAACAACAGCTAAGGGGCAATTCTAAGGGGCATGCTCTGAGGGCAGCCACATCCTAGGTGCTTCATGGTCGAGACCATCGCTGCCAACTTTCCTACACCAACTTTCTTGGGCCCTAGCAGGATTTTGCCTGGCACATTTTGCCACAAGTATCTCCTGAGATGATATCGTCCCACAATTGTGATGTGTTTGCACTTGCTGGAGTGGTCAAGAGTTGATACCACAACCTGAGATGGGTGCTGACAGCTTCTTTGCTTCATGGTATAAGCCATAATCGAACCTGCAAATTTCCACAAGGTATACTTCGTGGCTAGCTGCTAGCTGGAGAATGGCTCAACAGGACATCTACAGGACATCTACAGCCAATCTGGCCTGTTCCTTTCAATGAAGCGAAGTCGCCTTAATTGATACGTGTGGGTTGTGCTCCTTGCCATGCCTTGTTGGCTTTCTGAGGCCCGATCACAGCCGTCACGTCTTGAACCCCGAGCTCTGACTCTGTCGGGATGTCCATCATGGCCTTCCGATTTGCGAGGAATGCAACGACATTCTAGGTTGGAGGCCATTGCTATTAGAAGGGATGGCCTCCAACCTATAAAGCATTCAATGCACTCGATGTCTCGACACAGTGCAACCATTTCATATGCAACCTGCCTCGTGCTCTTGGTATGGCCGGATTTGAGTAAAAAGCAAGGGGCGGGCCTCAAGGTCTCAAGGTTGCCAAGTTACAAATGCTCGACCAGCGTGCAAACCAACCACATCACACTGGGGCAATGTCAGCTTCCAGGTTCAGCCCTCAGAAACACAAGTCAGTTCCAGTCACGCATCACATCGTTTCCCAGCCAATTGAAGGCATTGTGTTGACTGGTTTGCTGTGTCAATGCACATTCAAAGAGCCAACGTCCAAGACGTGTTGCGATTCACTTCAAAATGGTTCAGGTGCACTCCTTTACACGCCCGGGTCATCCACCCAATGTGCATGCGAGTTGAAGCGCAGATCTTGCAAAGTCCTCCACGTTGCACCAGACCGCGTAAAACATGGTCAACTTAGTTCCCGAGTTTGGTTGAAAACAGAAGCGCTGCACAAGTCCTCAACTACGATCACAGCAGACATTCGCTGAAACAGGATCGACTTCGCAACCTGACTTCAACTGGTTTCTTGGTTCCTGTGCACTAACAAATCATACCAAGTTTATCCTGATGTGTCGTGGCTCTTTTGTGTCGCGAGCATTCAAAATTATGAAGCAATGTAAGTTCCATTAAAAACAATCCATAAACTACAACTTTGGCTATATTTCCCTAAGCCCACCTAGCCCACCTGTAGCTCAGCAGTACCCTAGGCACACAGTTCAAAGGAACTCCTGCTTTAGGCACTGCCTTTTTTCGGCCTCAGTTTGAGGGATTCAACCCTAATGCATTCAAAGTCCTAAGGACTCTGAAGTCCGAAGTGTCCAGCTTGAAGAATTCTGCGACGTCTTTTGTTTGCATGACCAATGTCTCAAGAGCCCACAGGCGATTACTCTCATCTGCCAAGATCGCTCGTTTCGACAATCCGTAGTTCTTCCCAAGCCAAACCAATTCCCGCCAAACCTGTTGCTGTTAGTAGTCATAACGCCACCTCCTGGGCAAGCACTCTGTGCAAGCCCATTGGCATTGCTATTCGCAACTTGTAGACCCATTTTGCCATCCCCACCACGGACAGCAGAATGCCCTTGAATCTTTGATCCCTCAAAGAGCTGGATATAACATATTATGTATGTTGAACATGTGTTACACAAATCTCGTACATAGGTCAAGAATGAATTCCAAGATTAGTCTAACCAAACACCGTTTAGGGCCTAAACGCCATGCATAAGTTTAGGCCATGCAAAGCCCATGCGCCCCATGCGCTCTCTCTTCTCTTCACGCCTCGTAATCATGTTCTGTCAAGGGTGGCCTGGCAAAGCTAGATCAAAGGGGTGTGTACAGCAGTCTTGTTCACTACCCCTTCATGGCCCTTAGGTGTGTGCAGAGTTTCGAATCGCTTTGAACTCTCAATTCAAAGCGTGCGTAAGGCGAGCCGTAAGACTTGTCGTAAGACATGCTGCGAGGTAGTGATTTCTTCATTTATGCTGTCCATTCTTGCAAGCCTAGTAATCACATAGAAAGAGACGAAACTGAAGTCAATTTGGTTGAAAAATGCGGTCGGTAGAAAGAACATAATGCAACAATATGTATCAATTCACTGTAGATATAGCCATAGCGCTAGTGACGTCAGCAGAAATGAGGCAAAGAAAGAAGAAAAGGAAACCAAGAAGAACGCAAAGTCGTCAAAATCCGTCAAAGGTCAAATTTCACTTGCCATCTTAAACGCTATTAGGTTGGAGGCCATCGCTAGTAGGTTGGGGACCATCGCTATTAAAAGCAAAGAAACACAAAAAAGAAGAAGGGTCATCGGTGCCCAATCTGAGAGATCTGACCCGTTGAGATCGGTGCGGTTCAGCAGCATCCGGGTGTAGTAGTTGTCACCTACGATGCATGGCATATTGGAGCACACCCCCCTCTACTTTGATACAGCTAAGGCCATGGCTATAAATATGTGGCGATGCCCTCAGTGAAAATCGAATATGACGTTGGGGGTAGGCCCCGTAGGCCAAGCTCTTGAAAAAACAACTTTCAGCCGTCTACAGTGCAGGTTATGTACTGTGTTGAGCTGAGCAGTGGGCGAGATGCGAAAACCAGATACACCAAGAACAGAATCCTGCAATCACGAATTGAAGAATGAGGCTGACAAGGAGGTAGTAGTAGTAGTAGTAGTAGTAGTAGTAGCTGATTGATAAGACTGCAAAGGATTTTTTGACTCATGCTACCAAGAGTTTACAGATTGAGCTTGCTCAGAAGAAAGGGGCCATTTACCTTCAGCAAAGGTGGTTCTCCTGCTTCAATCGTGAATGTAAACCTCCTCCTTCCTCTGATCCGGTCGTGTGCCATGTTGAGGAGGTTGTTGGTGAACAGGTTCAAAACCCTCGTCAACTTTGCTCTATCTGGCCATGGGATGCTGATTCAGCAAGAATACTTGGACCTCCTCCCTTGACCACGACATTCCTCTGAAGACGACGAGGTCGAGGTCAATTTCTGTGCGAAATGTCCGTACTTTTATTTGGTTCAGTTCTGCAACACTTTGCGGTGGCAGTTGGGGGAAGGAAAGGCGTGCTCTGTCTTTGAACTCGCAATTTTCGCATACTTTCAAGACTTTTGATTTGGTTTATAATTGCAACACCGGCGGCCTATGCCTAAGTGTTGAGAGATGGATTTGCAATTTGTACATTGAAAGGAAATGTGGTGGCCCCGTTGCATCTTGAGTTTAAGAACAAGAACGATGGGAAAACTTTCCCCAAGGCCCCAAGGATGCTTCCATGGTGCCGAAGTCTGGCTACCCAATTCTGTTTTGGAACATGTCTGCTTCGCTTTACTTGGTTGACAAGGCCACACATTTGCTCGGACCTTCTCATGGCTGACTCTCTGGGGCGCAGGCAATGTGAGATGTCGGCGACCACCAGGGACCAAGCCTGCGGTATCGGATGATGGTATCGTCTAGGAACTTTGGATCAAATGTCTGATGGTTTTCCTGGAGCTTTTCCTTTGCGCGGTTCCGTCAGAGGATGCAAACCATCGCAAATAAAGAACACGACTCCCGCTCCACAATTCACTACAGTGTCACACAGCGCTGCACATTGTTCAACACATATATTTGTCCAATCACCGAGCCCTTTTCCGGAATGATGATGCACAAGTTCTATTGAGCATTGCACCTGACAAATGTCTCAAAGTGAAGTTGTTGTGTGCCTCTGGTGTTGGCCAGCCACGCAAACAGCAAGAGCCTGTGGACAAACTGTTCGAACATACAGTGAAGTGGCAAGCGATTCAAATCATACTGGAGTGCCTGCACTGTTGAAAGGCATGGTGCCTGGAATGGCAACGCCCTAGACAATATCCACCACAATGAACACAAAGGAGAAAAGCTGTGTAAATTTAGCGTTAACACCGGATAACACCAAAAAACCAGCCATATCCACCTGTCCCATGCACCTACTTTCGCATCCATCCCTTGCATGTTTGGCTACAGTAGTTGAGGGCGCAGCCATCTCGTGACGCAGCTGACTCCAGAAGCGAGACCAAGGATCACCTACAAACGCATTGAGCATCATTGTATACCAAATATGAGAAACGTCACATGTGAAAATATTGGAGGCCATTGCTAGTAGGTTGGAGGCCATCGCTATTAAGTTGGAGGCCATTGCCATTAGTATCAAATAACAATGGTTTTTTTTGATATGTGAACATTGGCAAGCAGAGATCCAATGAGTCCCAATCGTGCCAAGTGGTAGCAGCGGGCGGTCGCAGCCCCATTTGTGCTGAAGGGTTTCTCAACAAATACGAAAGGCCGGACGTGAAGGCCCCTTTGGGGCTACAAAAAACCCGGCACTTGGCAAGGATATTTGGAATTGACAGGCAAGGCCAGTGCTGCAATGATCAAACATCCGCTTACGAGAAGAGTGACCACAAGTAAATGCCCTGAGGTCTGGCAATGCACAGACAGCACCTGAGTACAAGTGACACAGTGATCCGTGATCGCTGAGATCCAGTCGTTACAAAACCGATGTTGACATTGGACGAAAATATTGAATTACAAGTAGTTCCCGGGCAAGCCGGCGGCGGAAGTTTCATATAAGAACAAGTTAACCTATAGGAGTGTCCACGTTCCCTCCAACATGCGCGTCCTCCAGTCAAACGCACGCGCTCCGGACTTTTGACCCACGGGATTCCACGTGTGTAAGGTGTGTGCCCCCTGCAGGATCAGCAGCTCAAAAGAGCGTACTGGGTTGTATCTTTGCCACGACAAGAGGGGTGTATGACGAGTGGTGTATGTTGAGTGGTGTATGATGAGTGGTGTATGACGAGTGGTGTATTGACCAGCAGTTGAATGTCCTGTCCTGCATAAATGCAACCAAATACTATCAGTATGAACTGTGCCAAACCTGCACGCCGCGAGAGATGACTCAGCAGCGAGAGATGACTGAGTCGCGAGAGATGTCTCAGCCGCGAGAGATGGCTATAGCGAGAGCTGACTCAGCAGCGAGAGATGAATGAGCAGCGAGAGATGACTCAGTCGCGAGAGATGACTCACAGCAGCGAGAGCTGACTCAGCAACGAGAGATACTCCTCCGCGTACTACACTTGTACTACAAAGTGGCCAGTTCTCAGCTTCCAGCTCCACAGGTTGTTCCGCGTGCTAAAGTTGTACTAGAAAGTCGCCAGTCAGTTCTCATCTTCCAGCTCCCCAGATGCTCCGCGTACTGCAGTTGTACTACACAGTCGCCAGTTCTCAGCTTCTAGCTGCACAGATTGCTCCGCGTACTAAAGTTGTACTAGAAAGTCGCCAGTTCT